TGGGAAAACATATATCAGTTCTAACTTGTAAAAAAAATTATAGTCCACACCCTAAATGAGATAATTTTATTTAATTAAAATTTAATTCAAAATTTAAAAATTTATCTTATTAAATGTTGATATTTGAATTCAGAAAATAATTATATATTCTAATATAATCAGTTTTCAAATTTATATATTAATATTGATAAGGTAGATTTTTGAATTTTAAATTAAATTTTAATTAAAAAGTCAAAACTTATGTACATTAACATTATATATATATATATAGAAAAAAGTGTTTGTTAGCTAGTTTCTAAGAAATTAAGAGAAAAAAATCTTAAAATTATATTGTTCTAATAAAATTTTATCAAAAAAATTAAAATAATTTATTTTTAAATCAGAATTGAGTTTGTTTTCATTTTTTTCTATAATATTTTAATGAAATAATGTAATTTTAATGTATTTATTCTCTTAACTAACAAATACCAATATCATATAATATAGATTTGAAAAATAATATGGAGTACTTACTAACAACATTGAAATTTAATAAGAATATTTAAAGTTTAGGAAAAATACATATTAGTCTTAGTTCCAAAAAGAAAAAAAGGATTGGAATTCTAACATTAAAATATATTATTTTATTTAATTAAAATCTAATTTTAAATTTAAAAATTTATCATATTTAAATATTAATATTTAGATTTCACAACTGATTAAATTTTTGAATTTTAAATTAAAATTTTAATTTTTAAATATAAATTGAAACTTAAATTTTTTTTACAAGTTAGATTTATATACACTAATGTCTTAAAGTTTTTACATTATGAAAGAAAATTCTAGATTGTTTTAAAGCATAAAAAAAAAAATCCCACATCAATTAAGTATGAAGTTTTCAAATTTCATGTAACCTTATAAATAAAATTACATTAATAAGTAAATTTTTAATTAATTTTAGGTTGAATGAATTTATACATATTTATATAATATTAAATTGTTACTTTCTCTATTTATTTTTAATAAATTTAGTTTAATTTTTTAAATATAAATTTCAACCAAAAATTTAATATACTATACAAATGATAAGTAATTTT